TTGAATTTTGACTTTTTCAAGTGAGAAGTCAGGCCTTTGCTGTCAGAGCAGAGAAAGTTACAAAGTTACAAGCACTTAATTTCTATTTCAAGGCCATTTCAAAGTAATGGAGGAGAGATGCTTATTTCACTGATTTAAGAGAGAAAGTGGAATGACCGTAACATTAATAGCAGAATAAAGACTGAATTAATTATTTTAGCAATGCAGCACAGAACTGATATCAGCTCAAGTTCTGTACAACTCTTTCAATGTTGTGCAGACTTTTAAGTTTACTGAAAAGCCAAAAGCATATTCAAGTATTGGATAGCATCTTTAGGCAAATTGAAAAAAAATCCAAATATTGACTTGCCTCCTGGTTTAAATCTGCCTTTTTTTCCCCCAGATAAACAGTGTTCTCTGGACAGTAATTATTAATGTTGTAATGTGAATTTGAATAAGGCTTTGCACTGATATGTTCAACTGAATTCAGTAACTTCTTGTTCTCAACATGTCTTGTTTCTTGTAGATGTCGCCACATACTCTGAACTGTGTCACTTCTTCCAAGTGGGATCGTCCCTACTCCAGAGAAGTGGCAGCATTCCCACTGGTGAGTACATAATGGGAACTTGGTGGTGTGGTAATACATAAATATGCTTTGTGCTCTCTAGTTTCTTAGTCAGTTGGAGATGAAGTAATGTGGTAAGAATGAAAACTTCAGAGCCATTTTATTGTTGCTCAGTTTTTATGTGTGTGACCTCTACCACAGTTTCATTTAGTTTTTAAAGACAAGGAAAGAAGATCTTAAAAAAAAAAAAAAAGTCTCTACACATAGGTGCAGACTTGGATTTCTCAGTCTTAACACATCAACACTGAATATTCATTCCCGTTGGAAACAGCCTGTTCAGTTCTGATATACTGCACCAAGGGCTCTCAAAACAGAGTCCCATGTGCTGACATTCAAAGCTTTGCTCAGAAGAGCTTGCATAAGGTGAGCATGGGGAAAGCAACACCAGTGTGGACTTGCTGCAAGTAAAGGTCAGATTGGAGCTGGACTGTGATATCAGACTTAATTGCTTTCATAGTCATAGAAGCTAAATGTACATGTAACCAACCCTTCTGCTCTGAAACTTAATTCCAAGTATTTTAATGATATGTACTGTTTTTCAAATAGTAAGAATTCAGCTACACCACCATTCTGCTTGCCTTTAAGCATTATATTGTAATTATACTGAACAGCACAGCAGTGTCCCCTGCTTTTACTTCATTCCTATCTGAAAGCCAGTTGTTCAAAGGATATGAAAATTTTCTTTAATCTCATAAAGCTTCTTCTTTGCAACCATGTGTTAGAGGACATGATTATATTTTTTTTAAAATCTAAGCATTCTTTTAACTGTCACTTCTATTATACATGCTTGTTAACTTTCAAGGACTGCAAATAGATTTGAAGGATGACTTCACCTAAAAAAGTCACTTTCAGAGCACTTGTAATTCTTCAAGCTCCTAATGTCTATTAAAATTTTATAGCTTTATTTGGTGGAAAAATTAAGATGGTTGGATTTGTTTATCTCTCTTAGCCATTTGTGAAGCCTGACAGCAAGTTTTGGCCCACAATTGCTCGCATTGATGACATATATGGGGATCAACATCTGGTTTGTACCTGCCCACCAATGGAAGCCTATGAATCTCCATTTTCTGAACAGAAGAGAGCATCTTCCTAAGACTACTTCCAGCTGCCTGCATTTTTGACTCCATCAGAATGGCTCTTTCCTGATTTTCTGGGGATATTTATATTGTGTATATTTTGAATGATCACCATGTTTGTTTATTGAACCACTGCTCAGTTAAAATGTAAATACAATCAGTACGTCAGGTGTAAACAAAATGTGATTGTTACACAGCAGTTGATGTTGGAAGTTGCCTTGATTCATCATTTTGTCTGTTCTGTGTTAAAGTTTTAACAATTAACACCCAATTTGCAAAGTGGCATAGAAGATACAGTTAAAAAAGTAGAAAATATGCCGATATGTAAGGCAATACTAATAAATATTAACTGCAGGAGTAATTGTTTATATTTTGTAAAAAAAATGAAGTAGATTTTAAAATTTACTTCACCTATTACCACTAACTAGCATTGCTAGTATTTCATACTGATTTTTTTACCTATCAGTATTAGTACTCTAATAAAATTGGTGAAAATTTTAAATGCTGTCATATTTTGGATTTAAACTTTTCAGCTGGATTTGTCCAACAGAGCAGTATGAAATTATGGAGCTTAAGTTCTGATTTGTGACAATTGCCACAGCAGCAATAAACTCAACACAAAGGAAAACACTGTCAGAGATTTATATTTAAATAAATCTCTGATTTTTTTAGTAAGCCAGAATTATTTTACCAAGCAGTAACAAACCTAATCTTGTTCTATGTCACATAATTTTTTTTCTTAGTAGTTCCATCTAATCCTCTCTTATTCTGGAGAAGGCATAAAAGACCATTGTAAACTGCTCAGTATTACTTAAATCTTGGGTAAAAAAATGTTCTCTTTCCAGTTTCTCAAGTCTCTCTCTGGCACTTTTTTATACAGAGCACACATTTTGCTCTACTTTATCTACAGCTTGTGTAAAGACTGATTCACAGCTTAAGGTATGGCCCTCCAAGAACACCAACAGCACTGAGACCACAGCCCTCCTGTAACACACAATGTCACATTAAATCATGCAGTAGCCAGAGCTCAGACCTTAAACAGGAGCCTTTTCCATCATGTTCCAAATCAAATTTACATAAAACCAAAACTCACACTAGTGATACAGTCAGACCTCTGTGCTACAAGCACATTTGTGAGGAACCTCCCCAGACCGTGCAAAGCTGTCTGTTTGCTGTACATGAGCACCCCTGAAGGGACAAAATCATGCAGTCACATGAAGCACAGTTTTGGTGAATTAGGAAACAGGCACTTGACAAAGACCAAGACCACAGAAAAGGATCACAGTTTTGCACCTTACAACCACCCACTGCTCAGCCTCTTCTTGAAGACCTACATGAATACTCAGCCTAGGAAATCTGAAGTGACACAAATGAGGCTGGTGTTCACAGCAATATTTTAAATACTGTAAATTTTGTGTCTTTTACAGTTAAAAGTTTTGGGACTGCAACTTTTTCATTACCTACCTTATGACTTCAGTGGGGGGCTTTACACAAAGAGGCTGCAGATGATAGCAGACGGGAATGGCTTTTATTAAAGGAAAGTCAGGCCAGATACCAGCTTTTCTGTGAAAAGCTGTACCTACATCCTAAATCACCCTAATATGTAGTGAAAAAAATCATAATTTTTTTACTCTAGAATTCAGTACGAAAAGGGTGTGTTTCAGTAGCTATTGATATAGTACTAAGGATGTAAAAAACTATGAAAAGCCACTGCAGACTTATAATGTGAGGAAAGAACAGTCTTTCTCTGCTGCCACTCTAATTCCCCAGTCTTAACACGCTACTTTAATGTTTGTTAAAAGCAGTTTAACAAACTTGATTGTGTCACTGAAAAAATATATTAAAAATTGGTCTACATGTTTTTGTATAAAGAAGATAACTTCCCACTGTTGACCTCCAACTGACAAAATTTATCTTGTGAATTAATTGGTAAAATCTAACCAGTAGGAAACAAAACATTAAAGTATTTTACAGTACTCAACTAGAAGGTTGAAAGCCACAAGTCTTATGAGCTTACTGCACAGATGCAAAAGTGAAATCACATTATTCACTCCAGAAAATACTCAGCTACCTGCAGCACTGTAGGCCACAGGCTGTCAATGCCACCTCAGTGCCTACAGAAGGACTTTGACTCACCCACCTGACCAACCACCATGCAGCAGACCCACAGCTCCCAGCTGTGCCAACAACCCTGTGCCGTGACAGGCAGGGCTCCCACCCGCTCTGGGACATGGACAGAGCACTGCTACAGGCTGTGAGAGAGTCCATGGGTATCAACATCACCACTGGTTTGGACTTGTTCGGCCTTTTTGAAAATTAAGTGTTTTTTTCATTGAGAAATGAGTCAAGGAATATAAAGCCTCACACCTGAAAAATAAGGCCACCTAAGGAAGACATTTAGTAATCTGAAAAATAAATTCTGTAAAAATCTTATGACTTAATTAAGTGGATAACAGTAAAAACAAAACTAGCAAATCTTCTGAATCATAAAATATTTAATAAGGTATATTTGGGGGGGGGGGGGGAATATATTGTATATAAAATTTCAGATCACAATATGACGCGATTTGAACCTTCTCCAAGCTAGCACTGCCTTTAATGCTGTGTAGATGTATTGCCACTGATACAAGACCTACTAAAAGCATACAGTTTAACTAATACAGAAGTGGCTTTTTTTATATGAACTATTTTTTACACAACTAGAGTGTCTTGAATACCCTCTTTAAGTGCAAAAAACACAGATCACTTTACACTAATGCAGCAACAATGCATTCATATTGTTCTGATTAGTCATTAGTAGTCAACTTGCATAAGATACAAGAAAAGCACAATGAAGCTCACAAAAATAGACTAAAAATCAGCCCGTTCTTGCAAAAAAATACAGCATAATAGAAGAAAAAGACAAAAAAGGGATTATGCACACCACAGAATTTGCTATTTAATCCAAATGGCTTAAGTGCTGAATCTGTTTCTTTTTCCTGGTTTTTCTTTTGGTTTGGGTTTTGTTATTGGGTTCTTTTTTTTTGTAAATCAAACCACATGGACCAGGCACAACTAATATTCAGGAGGCAGTGTGTAGCTATATAGCTAAAACATCAATAAATTTTTTCATCCCCAACATTGTTTAATTGTTTGACACAATTTACTTTCCTCTGTCCTGAGGTAGTTACAAAAAAAGAAATCATAAATTAAGCATCAGCTAGGCCAGTAAGAGCTGAGGCTTTTCTTTTTCTTTCCTTCTTTTTTTTTTTTTTTCTTTCCTTCTTTTTTTTTTTCTTTCTTTTTTCTTTTTTTTTTTCTTTTTTTTTTCTTTTCCTTCCCTTCCCTTCCCTTCTCTTCCTTCTTGTTTAAAAATTATTTGTTAACTGGCCAAAACTACCCTTGATGTTAAAAGACAGCTGAGAAATAGAGTTCTCACAACACCAAGAAGGGGTTATGAGGGGAAGAGGGCTAGCTGCTTCAAAATGTGACAATATATTGAGTCCCATCAAGCTGGCTGGTCCACTGCTGTATTTCCCATGTTTATTCCCCTCTACTGTCTATAAAGTCACTGGGAGAAGTACAGAAGGGTCTGAGCACATCATCGTCCTTTACTGTAACCCGGAAAGAACTGGTCCAGTAGTGTCTGCAGGATCTTGTTGGGAGCCATGGTGTACCCCTTCCCCAGGTCATAGCGGCAGGCAGGGCAGGTGAACACTTCGGCTCTGAAGGAGCGCTGTAAACAGCTCTAGGACATACAAAGACAGAGAAGTAAATTGCAACAACTTCCTTTCAGACCCACAGCTTAACCAGCAAAAAATAAGGAATCAGTGTAAACCAAAGGCACAGTCTGCTGTGCTACCAGAAAATAGGAAGTCTTCGCCAAGCCATCTGGTGCCTGATTCCACCTGTGACTAAAATCTCCTAGCAAAAGAGCTCTTCTCTGTGCTGGGATGCAAAACACTGTGCTTGAGGAATTAAATCACTACTGAGGTCTTCCCTTCATTTCCGCTGAGGCCTTCCTGTAAGTCACAACCAATCTTCAGCTTCCTTATTGCCTCACAGATTGCTCTACTTTTCCAGACCTCCATATCAAGAGGAAGGTGAATACTGTTTGCATAGCAATCTCCATCTACCTCATCAGAAAACATTCAGTTTAGCCTTACAGATACATGAAGTATACAATCTTTAACATGTTAGGTAGTGTCTGTGGGGTCATCCTTACTACCTTACTGCAGACTGTTGAGCATCCTAAATTTTTTAGGGCAGACCTGTGTCCAAAGTGCAACAGCAGCTTACTGTCAAACTATTCCTTACAGCTTTAACTGGATGCTATATTGTATTCTCAAATATGCACTGGTATTCAAATACTGTGCTTTCTGAGTTTGTTGCCATTCAGCTTCCTCTTCTTTCTTTTTTAATGGTTTTCCAATTTCCACAGTTTTAAATATTAACTTCACAATATTTCTCATGTTTTTCAAAGAGCTAAAATTGTTCCATGTGTGCAGGGCACACATAACAATGCCCTGATATTTACTGGAGTGGTATCTTCTTGAACAGTAACCTTGCATTACTGAATACTCTACTAGCATGATAATAGTCTGAGTCCTTTAGGGCCTCAGGCAGAAATACTAGGTATGGTAGGCACCATTCAAATATGCACAGTTCAGTGCATGATTCTGTACACACCAGTGCTACAAAATTAGCTCTAGTCCTGATTTGATTCCAAGATCTTTACATTATCTTCAACTGACCAAAATTTTGAGACACATGAGTAATGTACTGACACCTGTGGCTCTTCTGCCAAACATGAACAATGCCAAGATTAACAAGATAACACAACTTTCTCTGAATGAGCCCAAATAATTTTCTAGGGTATTTGCCCGTCACTCTTTCACAACTCTTAACAGACAGTTATAAAATTATAAAATCTGGTTTTATTTTTAACTGTGTAAAATTAAATCATTGATATTGTGCCAAAATCTAACTTGTGGACCTGACCAATTCCTAGTGCACCCCCACTGACCACAAAGGCATGACAGCAATGATAAACCTCACTCATTATGTCAATCAGGAACTGTATGAAACATACTTCCACTCTTTATTACAAAATTAAGATGTTTACACAGCAAACATTGAATGGAAACTTGTTGCCTGTTTTTGCTCAGAATGTTATACAATTATTATTGTCTTTCTAAAATGCATATGGCTTTGGTGACTGGTGTCTCAGAGCCAAGACAATAGCCTAGAGCAAGGCAGTTTATTCTTACTTTACAGACGTTGTGGAGGCACTCTGTTGTCACTGGCTGGTAAACCAACTCCTGGCAGCAGACACACATAAAGGATTGTTCCAGTTTCTTCAGAAAATTCTAATGTGGAGCAAAGGAATAAAAGAGACAAACTCTATTACAGTTCTCATAAATGCCACTTACTACATAAAGATGATGTATTTCCAGAAGTTCTTAAGTCCTTCATATCTCTGAGCACAGCTTTATAGGAGTAATCAGGAAGAATGTCTTTAATGGCTTAATTTCCCTGCTCTTCTACAAATCGAAGAATTATATAATCAGAGAATGGTTTGGGTTGGAAGGGACCTTAAACAACACCTATTTCAATCCCTGTGCCGTGGGCAGGAAATCTTCCACTAGACCAGATTGCTCAGTGCCCCATCCAGCCTGGCCTTGAACACTTAGAGGGATGGGGCATAAGTCTCTGGGGAACCTGTCATAAAACTATTTTCTGTCTAAACAAAATGTAGTGACTAAAACCATGTTTCTTCATGTCTGACTTCTGATATTAGCACAGGATAAAAATACATTTATTATATCAGAGAAAACATGCTCTCCTGAAAAATGAAAATAAATAAAAAACCACTTTTAACTTCAGGATGGGTTTTGAGCAAGAAAAGGTCTCTATTGTGGAGCCATTAACCCACCCCTCAAGAGTAAATTGCACAACCAAGACTTATTTTCTTGAAATACAAGTCTTACAAATAAAAGTAATGCAAGACAGTCTATATTTAGCAGAAGTTGAACAAACAAATGAAGTTTTAAGAGAGTCTCAAGATTTTTCCAAATAATATAAAGAAAATGCAAACAATAAATATTACACATGCAACAAACATACTGGTCCTTCCTTAAGAGAAGCAAGTACTTCATCCCACAGCTTCTGGTTCATACAGTCTTCTCTAATCAGCCATTGCTGCTCTTGGGTGAGCTGGAAAGCTTCTCCTTTCCCTCCATCTCCCATCCTCATGGCTTTGGGTGTATTTGTAGGCTCCTCTGTACCTGCTTAAGATGGTGACCATCAGACACAGTAACAAAAGTGTTAGTAACAGAAGGGAAAGACAAAATTATTTCTAGAAGGAAACATAGATTAATATGGATTACATGCATGAAATGCATCAAGCAAATTCCTACTCCAATTCATACTGTCCACCTTTGTTTTGGATTGCAGCACACAGTAGCACAGAAGAACGTTCATTTTTTTGCAGGGCTTAAAAGTGAAAAATGCAGTAGGAGCCGTAAAAAGGACTAAGACCACTGCATTACTACTTAATTAAAGAGCATTTGTTTATCAATTTTCATTAGTGATCCAAACAGATTCACATTTCCACAAAGATTTCATGGCTTAGAAATTGTAATGCAACAGACTTTGCTAACAAATGCTAAAAAAGTGAAAAAGAAATACCATCATCAATCGGCCTTTTCTGGTTTCCATTACTTTGGCTGGTTGCCTCCTGTTTCACAGTGTGCTTTTTAACCTTATCTTTCTTCTCCTTACTAGCCATGGCTTCCAAATAACCTTCTGGATACTAAAATTAAAAAAAATAGATTTAAAACAAAAATCACTGGCATTCAGGAATAATCAAATACCAAAAAGAGTAAGTTCTAAAAGACTTTAGATCTCTATGATTACATAGTAAAATAATTACAAAATTATTTTAAAATCCCATATGATAAACATTTAAATTAGTACCTATCATTAAGAAAGCACAGTCAAGTCAAAGAACCTAATCCATAGTCAGCTGTGTTAAACAGTGTATCCATACCTGTGTGTTTACAAACTATATACATCAGGGGGATGATGGTATGCTTTAAAATATACCATTGCATTGCCAAGAATAAATATTACTTCCTCCCATCTTTCCATCTTTCATGGATTCTGCAATGCCAAACTTCCCATGGATCTGCCTAGATCTGTGCCTAAAATACACTATGTATACAAACAACTCAGTCACATGAGGAGAAAAATACATAAAAATGCACAGTTTTTTTGGTTTCTCAGACAGAATCCAGTCATCTGTAGAAAAATTTGTCCCAGCCTAAGAATCACAAAACTGGACACAAATTCTGATTTTCCAATCCATACAGACAAACCAGTTTACTGCTAGGGCAGAAAGCTTCATTCACAGTTTCTTCTCCGAATCCTCAGGATTCTTTCAATTTAGTCTGTAGTGGTTTTTAGTATCAAAAGCTGCCACAGTGAAGTACAAGGAAAAAAAGAGAGCTTTAATTTAACTGATTTCTTCCTCTGGAATCTGTTTACTGGATCCAAGAATAAAAACAACTGCCCTGATAAAAACAGCTGAGTCTTGATGCCAACCTGTACGCTTAGACCCAGCTTCTTTGACCGCTCCATTCCTTCTGAAGTCCAAGGTGCAGGCTCAACGTCATCTCTCCTCAGAAGATAGCGCCAAACTAAAAATCCACATTTTCCAATTTCTGGCCAGTATTTCACCACCTAAAGAACAATACAAAATTACTGTCATTATTTTATCACAAGTCAAACACATGCACATCGTCATACTTTAATTGTTCAAGAAGAAATGACAAAACTGATTTATACATTATTATTATTATATGCAGAAGTTCTTCCCTCAGCTGTGAAATTTTTGTTCTTCTTGTAAATACAATGGTCTTAAAAGGCATACTCCTTTGTTTCAGAAACTAAGAAAAACTTGGTTTTGTCTTTAAACAAACAAAAGGCTAGGATACAGCTGGAAGAACTGAAGAAGTAATGAAATAATCTGATTTCAGGAATGAACTTAATAAGCACATGCAAAGCAACTTACGTATTCAATCTTACATATCCTATTACAGATTATGTTCTATTATCACTGCTCTGAATAATTTCATTTTGGTTCACTTTGCAGAATAAACTAAAGCTAAAAAGCCATAGAAAAGAAAAAACTATTTCTTTCAAGTAATAATGTAGAATTTGCAGACTAACATATATGAGGCTTTCTAAAACAGATTAAGAGAAATTTTATGTTGTAGAGATCAGAATACCTTGTAAATGCCATCATATCTGTTGCCTTCCTCTGGGGCATATTTGCTGATCCGTCGTCCTTTTGAACTGCGCACTACTCTAACTGGTTTACCAGCTCTCCAATTCTTTGACTCTGCTCCATTTTTGTCATCCAGTGGGGCATCACAGTTAAGGGCCAGTGCCCTAGAAAGACATTTAAATTCTTCATAAGCTAGACTGCTTCACCTAACAGAGTTTTGAGGGTTAACATAATGAAGTCTCCTATGTTTCCCTTGCCTAATTTTGGTTTATCAAGCAGCATAGACCATTCAGTATGTTTTTTTAGCAGAACTGCTGGAAAAAAAAGAGATCCACGCTAAAATGCATGGTAAGAAAAAAAGATGGCAACACTTAATATGTTGTCTAGGTTCCAGATAAAAACTCATGTGAAACTGCTAGATAAAACAAACCGATCATTTTAGACTTCATATTCTTAATTTTTAAAAATAAAAATTTTAAAAATTTAAAAATCCGTTCCTAAACAGCATTGAGGAAATTAAAATTATAACAAACTTTCCATACTGCTATCTTCTCATCAACAGACTTTAAGGCTTTCCAAGTGTGTACATAATAACCATTCAAAAAAGCTCTAAGTACCATACCTTTCTCACATGATACATAAAACACCTCAGAGAAGAACTCAGAATCATAGGAGCTAATTAAAGGACAAACAATTCCTTTACCTTTACCTATAAAGACCCTCTTCTAGAAACCTGGAGCAAGACAGTATGCTCAAGCTGCCATAAGAAACAGTATTTCTACTACCACAGCCTGACTTGAAGGGATTGAAAACCCTTCAGAATCAGCCACAACACAATGATGGATCTCAAAACAGAAGAAATAATATGGGTTATAAACAGACATGATAGAAGTATAGAACCCACATTGTAGAGAACAGTAAGAGACAGGCACACTATGCCAATGTTAAAAATATTTCCCATATGAAAACAAAACTTGTAAAACTATCTGGACAAGGAAAACCAATACAGATTCAACTACACAGAATCATCATAATCTTCTGAATCAAAGTGCTGGATAAAGCTGAGTAAATGAGAGCAGCACATTGTTACTCCATGTGCACTAATGCCTTCACAGCTAAGTAAGTTTTGCCTGTAGCTTTGTCATTTGCTAAGAGGAGAGAAATCCTGACACTAAAGGGTACAGCTTTTAATTCTGTGTCCCAAAACAACTTTGTTCTATTCCCTAAATATGCTTGTAAAGTTCTTGCTTAAACCTGCTTCCATCTTTCCTTCCTCCTTGTTTTTGTTCATTTTGACATCACATGCCTCCTCCCCCTCCCTTTCTCAGCAGCCAAATCAGGCTTTTCCTCTTTCTCCTCTAGACATCTTGAAAGAATCCCTCTCCAGCCTGTCTGAGAGCAGCAGAACTGGATGCTAAATGCAGACCTGGCGAACAAAAGTTCTCAATGACTCTCAGCATCCCACAGGTGTTCAGAGGTCACTTGTATAACAGATTATGCTCTTAGAAACAGAAAAGGATGGAGTACTCTTTGTTCAGGCCATCTTTTGGCAGATGGGAAAACACTTCAGGCAGATGTCTAATTCTTCCCCCGGACACATGTTCTCTTTCAAGTACCTGTTTCGATAAAGCAGCACCCTAATTCCTTGCTTTTCATAGAAAATTATGATGGAAGAAAGGGCTAGCAAAACAGAAAATATTTCTTTTATCATGGGAAAATGAGCATGCTTTCTTCCTCCTTAAATTTATAACTGATTTACCCATGAGAGAAGAAACTGAAAAAAAGAAACATCCAGAATTAGAAAACTTCCGCACAAGTGTTTGACAAACTTCTCATTTAATTAAAACAGAGTCCACTGAGAGTGACTGTAGAACAATTCCAACCAGAAGCATGACTCTAAGCTGCAGCAACCATAGAGCAATGTATTTCACTGCGGTATGTGTTCCTTTAAAGCTACAAAACATAATGCTCGGTAAAATGCCTCTTAGAAGCAGCAGGCACTGCTGTTTATGAACACAGCGTGTACAGAAGAGAAAAAATACAGCAAAATGTTAGTTTTAAATTAAAGTGCTACAAGCCAACTCTTTGTTTTGGAATACCTTTAAATTTTATCTTCAAAACTTACCTATTCATGTGTGTTAATGTCTGATCAAATGAATGTTCTCCAATTCTTTTATTGCCAGAAAGATCTCTACCTCCACTCCCAGTGTAAGTGAACTCATCTCCTCGATCCTGTGCAAGAAGATTATCCTTTGGTTTAACGCTCTAAAGTAAAGTAACTCAATTAAAAAAAAAAAAAAGAAAAAGAAAAAGAAAAAAAAAATGCAACTTCATTTGTTCTATTTACTTAGAGAAAAACTGTAATCCAGGGCATGAAAGACATGTTTTCAATTTCATTATGCTGTCCTATGGGAGCTGCACCGGCACAAAACTACTGGTATAGATGTAACCTCTTCACCAAAAAATTCTGACTAAAAAAATGCGTACCTTAAAAAATGCTAGTTTTGCATTATTTATAAAGCTATTTTAAGAAAAAAAATCTGAGGAAGGGAACATATTCTAGCAAGTAGCTACTTGTTCTTGTTCATTGAGTTTACAAGAGCGTCATGTTTGTAAAATATAGAATAATTACCTTGGATGGATCACGTCAGTCACTTCTGCTTGTGCAAGGAGCTCAGTGCTGCCTTATGTACAAAGCTCTAATGGAGATGCTTTAATGAAATAGTAATCCCAGCTCTTCTGAATCAGTAAGAGTTTAAAATAATTTAGATTCGTATTTTGTAAGCTAAAATAATTCTGTACTATAGTTCCTATGTATAATTTTCATGAAATTGAAGGAAAGTTGATAAAATCTTTTACCATGAGCTATGAAAACAGTCAAAAATCTAAATACACTCATGTAAAGCCTGTATTTCTACTTCCTATACAAAGACTGTCACAGAATTTCATATTACTCCTGGGAAATGAATCTATTTCCAGAAACACAAAAATATACAGACAACATATATATTTAATACGTTATTTCTTTGGCGATGTATACTTGGTACACAGCATATAGCAATTTGATAGGAAAATTATGTTTAGATGAATTTTTATAGCAAAATTCTGAACATCTATGCAGTAATAAAATTCAGTCAATTTCTTACCACTATTAAAAGTCTGACATTATTTAGGATCCAGTGCAAGACTGTTACACATATTTCATGACTGACAACAGCAGAAAAAGAGAAAGTTAGAAAGGGAAATACCGCTTGAAGAAGGCCAGAGATAAATTACAGAAATTAGGTAGATTTTATTTTGTGTTAGGAAAGCCTAGCAGAAATTCAGCTGCATTCTCTGTATATAATAAAATACAAGAGCTATGAAGTTAAAAAGTATACTCAAAACCTAAGACAGACATGTATAAACTCTGTGATATGCTTTCTTAAAACAGTCTACTTACTCTACTAAATAAATCTCTAAAAACCAACAGAAACAGAATGAAATTCTATTAAGGACAGTATATGAAACAACTTTAAAAAACCAACCAGAAAAGAACCATTTACTAAGAAAGGATGTAAAATAAAATTGTGTAAGATATCACAGTATTGGAATTTATCACAGAGTATGTTTCTTTTTTTTCTGTGACTGTCAAGGCAAACACAATGCACAGATCACACAAGGATGAGTCTGATAATTGTATGAACAAGGATGGATTTGCTTCATGTATCACAATCATTCGAACAAACTGCATTTTGACAATGAATAAGAAGCCTGTGACAAGTTCAGAAAAATGGGAAAAAATATCTTGGAAGATCACAAATCCAGAATGACCTGGGTTTTGTGACAAAGAAAGAAACATGCACATGTTCTTGATGTGGCAGGGTGGGGAGGACTGTTAAGGCAGTTTTTGATATACAAGAAGAATTAAACTGAAACCAGAAGGTGATTTTTTCCCCTCTTCCTAGAACATAATTTTGAGATATATACTGATAGACCCTATACATAACAATGTGGAAAAATATATGAAAGACAGAAACACTTCATATGAAAGCAGGATGGGGAAAATTATTTATGAGACACAACAGGTTCTTGACAAACTTTTGTTTATCAACCATCAGGTTGCTGATAAATCTTCATGAGAAGAAAGTATGACTTTTATTTTTTGGCGTAAAAGAAAAACCTAAATCAAGGACAAATTGCTATAAGCTTAAGCAAAAAAAAGCCTTGAAGACACAAAGCAGAAATGCAACAGTATTCCTACTTACACACATTTCTATGGAAAATGGGTTAAATGTAAATGGCCTAAAACAAAAGACTTCCAGCATCTTCAAAGAAAGACTGGTTCTCTGGTGGAAGTCTAACCATAGGCAAACTGAAAACATTGCGCTTGAAGAGATCCTACAGATAGAAGACCTATGTATACATTCTCATCTCCTGAGCATATCCCACACTTCATGGGTTACATTTGTTTCTCTTTAATTATCAAAGTGCTCTATGCATAAATAAACAACTGGAAATCCAGGCAACAAAAACGGGGGATAAAAGGAACAATTATGGTGCATAAATGCTCCATAAATGCTACAGGTCAAGTTACAAGCCTCTTTCAATATCCTCCAATGTAAGGAAGAGTCACTGCTGCCTTATTTTCTGGATGAACTATACTCCCTTTTTTCATATCAGATATATTAGAAAAAAAACAAAAAAGGATTTCAGGGAACAAAGACACAGAGTCCAGAAGGAAAACATCAGAGATCTTGCCACTGATCTGGGCTGGATGATGAGAAATTGGAGGACATTTGAACTCTGATATAATAGCAATTCTCAAACAGGAGAGGAAGAAAGCTCATATGAACATGTAAGTGCTTGTAGAGAATGGAAATCAAAAATGGCAAGAATTAAGTGATGCACAGACCCAGTGTCTAAAGAGTGGAATAAATGTGGATATGAATGTGCCTATGACAAGCAGGAGTGAAATAGGGACAATGGTACTCCAGAGACATACTGGGAGACCTACAGGACCTACTTTCATCAGGCTTATGGTGTTTTATTTTTAAAGTGAAGTATAACAGGAATACTCACATCTTATTATTTGGGATTATTGGAGAGTAATGACTCATCAAAACAATTTCTCAGCAACTTTGAGTTCTATCTATAGATAATACAGGATCTTATAACCACCTACAACAACTTTTAACTGAGAGCCAGTATGAGATTGGTAAAGCTACGTTTGTCTGCAGAGGATCAGAAAGCAGAACTGAAGATAACAGTTCAACAGTTAAAGAAAAACGTATGGCAAAAGGAATTATTGATGTCTGTATGTTCTTCTTGAACAAACAAAATAGCTGTCAAAAAGCCTATCAAAACACTTATCTTTTCCCTTCCCTTCTTTCTACATTCTCCCCATTTCCTTACCTTAAAATACATAATTCTGCCATTTCTCTTCTGCTTTCCACAGCTTAATTCCACTTGCACCAAAACTTTCAACAGCTAGTAAGTACTTTGTTATTCTGACTTCTCTTAATGCCTTCTGTATGTCCCTTTTTTTTATGTTGTGTCCATAAAGTTATTTCTTAACCATCTTGTTTGTAAAGTTTGATCACGTTATAAAGCAAACAAACTTCAGCCACAGTAGCATTGACCCAATATCTCATACTGAGGCACGTGAGTGGAAGACAAACCTGAAGCTCTAGTACTACAAGCCAGTCAGCCTCAGACAGCCAGTACAAGCAGTCAGTCAGTTGTATGAAATCATACTCCACTATCCAACGTTGTTATATAATCAGTTGTAAGTCTAACAGAGAAATAATGTAGAATGAAGAAAGTAAAATTTTTAATTCCATTGAATCATTTGACCACTTTATTTCTATGGATTACTTATGCACCAGCTGACGGGGACATTAGCTGCTTTAAGTTCCTAGAATATGAGCTATCTCAAGTGAGCTCTCAATTATTTTCTCTCTCCATTAACACCTCTGCTATTATGCTCAGATTTCAAAGTTTGGTTCCAACAGATAATGCAAAAATTGTACTTATCATTAACAGGCTATTACAAACACAATCAGATTTTTCTAGATGAGTTCCAACCTTCAGTTTGAGCAACAAAAAATGTCTTATTGGCTTTCTTGATACAAGAAATTCCCAAATATCATCTCTTCATCAATCCCTCTTTAGTCTGACCTCAGCAAAATGCAATGAATAAAAGGTGAGCTTAATCAAATCATGATAAAGTAAAATAAAAAGTACTAAGCCTTTTTAAATTAAGTTATTAAATCCAAGTCAATTATTAACTATCAAGCAATTACATTTGAAAGCATTCTCTTTCTCCAGTAGTAGCAATATCTGAAACTGAATCATGTCATCATTCATCTCCATTAAACTTTGTATCCATAAAGTGCTGACAGAATTGGCCTGTCTGCCCATTGTTTGATTTATTTTTGATAATTTCATGGTTTAACACTTCAGTAAAAGGTGCCAATTGAAAAGGAAGTGCTAAAGTATAAATATAATTTGTAAATCAATAAGAATCCCTTGCATTAAGTGCAGAGCCTGAATACATCATAATTATTCCTGCTGAGTCTTACCCAAAATCGCCCCTGACAGCAAAAACCTGGCAGTTTCATGGCACGTTCCACCACAATGAAAACATTTCACCATATTAGTGTTCACTAATATATATGGCTGAACAGTAAGAAGCACAGCTTCAAAGCAGGAAACATCAGAAGGTGGCTAACTGGTGATGGATGTAGGACAACATTTTAAAAGATTGAAATCCTAGTAAGCTGCTGTATGTGAATTCCTTTCTGAGGTTTTTCTTACTCCTTTCCATGCCTTGTCCAAAACTGGTGAATTAACAGGCTTTCAAACTGAACATTTATATGTAAAACATTCAGTGTGGATTAATTATATTTTGTTCCATTAAAAATCCATTAAGACCTCGAACCAAGTTCACTAAAGATAGAGGTTCTTTTATGGTCAAAGACACTTTCCTGTAGTAGTAGTTTATTTAGGAGATACAACAGCTTTTAGAGACAGCATTTTAAAATTATGGTTATCTTTGACTATTAGCTGGAGATCCAAAATTGATTGGACTTTTGAGGGAAAAAAAATACTGCAATCTGTATAACTAATTTAATTTGCCTACTATGATTCTAGTTAAAGCAACGCATTTGAAATCTAAAAGTCAAGCATTTCTTATTAGACATTCATTTCAAGAACTGGATTGTGAATACTACATTCCAGGCAGTGAATGGGTTTGGTATAAAATACCAACAAAATGAAACAATGAGTGTATTGCCTGGGGTCTCTTTTGAGTCATTGCAGTCATTATCTTTTGTAGTCTCAGAATCTTTTACAAGAAGATGTGACTGCTCACACCAGGTACTATTCTCTAAGAGATTCTGAATCTCATTTCAGGGATTTTCCTTAAGATCCTATGTGAAACAACACTTACAGAAGAAACAATTTTTGTTTGGATTAAACTAGAGCACACGACACAATTAATTTACCATCTTTACAACACTACCTCAAACCCAGCAGAAACATGAATCTTGAAACTTTTGACAATAAACAGCTGTTTCAATTTGATATATAAAAACAATGACACAAAATAAGAGGGCAAGTTTTCAACACAAAGGTTAAACTTCTTCAGCTGCTTGATTTGATGAACAGACAAATCAGAATATGTTCATCATGAACACTGTGATTGCACAATCAGTGCTGATGTCCAGTATCTAGTGTGTAAATGTTAATCTGTTCTGAAATAATTCTTAGATTATAAATTACTGAAAGACTTCTCAATTCCTTCAGCTAATGCTCCTGTTACGGTTACTATCAAAGCAATACGAGGAGATCAGCAACATTAACATATTCGAAACAAAAGCTAACTATAGGTAAGCCATGTAACTTGTCCCTAGAGTTCAAAGTTACCCATTTTCAGAAGAGAGATTAACGTGCAAATATTTTATATGCATGTAATTAGAAATGAGGATAAAGCGTCATTTGCAAAACAATTTCATCCGATGCTCATTTTGTAAACTATGACAGTACCTGTTCTCAATCTTGAGGGTAGATCTGACAGAACTGATAAAACTTGTTATTAATGAGTACTCCAATACATCCAGAACATCCGAACTTCAGTAAAACTGGAGACAATTCTGGGTCTCTAGGATTATAAATTTCTAAAGGCATGGCATAAAAATATCATGATCTAAAGCTAGACAATGAACCCTGTTTCCTGCAATGTAATTCTGTAATTACTTTACCCCAATGTGGCTTTGTTGATTTAAAGCAATAAGAAGTGCACTAAGATGGCACACATCATCAGTGCGCATAAATAGTGCATAAAGTTTATAAATAGTATAATACTTCTCCAAAATGAATTTATCTATTTCTTGATTTTATAAAAGCATACACATAAACATATTTGTTGCACCATTGAAATTCAGTAAGAGTTACCTCTCTTTTTTGGTACTCATACAATAAAATGAATAGATGTGAGCAGAGGTTTTTATGTGTATATTTTATTTTAATTAAATAAATCTCAAATTTCACATCTCAAATTAATTAGATACTGTACTTAGGATACTTATAAGAACTCAATTTTTTTGTGCATATTCTTACAGGAGTTTAATCTCTTAACCTTTTTCAAAAAAACCAGGAAAATGGAAGTAAATTGGAAGATAAAATCTGGCACATGAAAGGAGAAGAAAAATTAACTTCAATAATGTTACTGGGAAAAAAAATCCCTTGTGTTATTAGTTTCATATGATATTCATAAAAGTTTTTAGGGTATTTTCTAAAACATTTCTCTCCTACCATGCCTTTTCAAAAGTATTTATGTCTTTTAGACTGTAACAGTACTTAGGTGTCTACAAAATCAATAACTACAACATCACTTAAGTTAACTGAAAAGGCACGCAAAGGATCCAACTAAGTTTACTAAATACTTTGAACTGAATAATTACCACCTCAGAAATAAGGGGACATGAGTATTACCAAAAAGAATACAAAGAGGAGTCCACAGCATCCCAGGATAGCAGATACAACTATGAAATAGTGTTCTCAGGGTCTGAGAGCTGTCTCCAGCTGAGGGGCTGGGACAGACGCTAAGGACACTATATCCAAACACCAAGTACCTCCTCATGCCACTTGTTCAAACAGAGACACACACTCCTTCAGAGGCAATACTCTGCAGCAGCAGCAGCTGGTTGATGCTGTTGGCAAAGAATATAGCACACTCCAATGCTATTTCATTCATATGCAGTTTTTTTTTCTTTACTGCCCTTTTCCTTTTGATTGACAGCTACATGCATTTTAAAAAAACAGGTTGCTTACTGCATTATCCTTCACCTGATCCAGAAAATTCCACCTGATGGACTGGAACTGCAGGAAGGGATGTACCTTGTGTAAACATTGTTTAATTGAAGAAAACAGTAATCTCTTCATAAATAAATGTTTGTCAACACCATGAGATGAAAATTGAAAGCAGTTACTCTTTTGTTTAGCAGTGTAACTGCTTTTGTTGCTCTACTTAGATGTTAACACTGAAGTAGGATTTTTTCTCAGCACCTTTTGGGATCATAGCACAAGATTCTGAGACTTTGTTAAGAAGTTCTGAAAGTGCTCATTAGCAGGACCCAAGAAACTTCAGAACTTCATAGTATCAAGCAACACATATCTTTTATTCTTGCTTCATTAAAATAAATGTATTATATATTTAGAAATACTGTTTGGAATGTAATAAATTGTGGCAAAAGAAGAACATAAAACACATTATTTGCACATAATTACACTCTCAGATTTTATATTACACTCAATTCAGACTCCAAAAGTATACTGAAATGTAACTACCCTAAACAATGTCAAATCCAGTGGTAACTGATATTTCACTTTAATATAAATCTGAGCATCAGCACTCTAAGATTTGGTAAGATTTTTCTCTCCAAAATAGTAAGAACTACTTAATTTATCAGTAGTAGCTGTTTTTTCCCACAGTCATGTCTGCCTAAACAGTAGTTTTAGATTAAATACCAAGTATAACTCTATAGTTACAAACATTGATACATGTGATGCTTTAGAACAGCAAGACCATTGCTTGCATGAATGACATACCACTTCATCTTCAAATCCCCCAGCTAGTACGAGTGAGTAAGCTCCATCATTACTGCGTCCATGGATTCCACCAACATGGGGCCTGTGAACACCTGCTTCGCTCACCTGGAAACAGAAAAACACCAGCTCATAGCAATTTTTTAAAAAACCCAGTCACCTACAACCACTTTTAACAATCAGTTTTCTGCATAAAATATTTTACAGAGGTTTCTGTGTCAACAGTTAATGCAAGACAAAATGCTGTTAAAGGTGTGAATTCCACTTCTTTAGGATGAAAAATGAAAAGTAAGAACATCCAGAAAACCAGCAGGACAATGTCGGACAGTGATGACATTGAAAGATGTAATGGTAAGCTTTCTTCTTTGGGAAAAATCACCAAGATCTTTTCCATAAGCATTAAGTACCCAGGTCTGTACTCACTGCTATACTCCACTTGCACAGTCATTTAGGACAATTCAAAGGAGAAGGACATCTACCAGCTTGGTACCATTTTACAGTTTTTAACCAAGGAAGATCCCAGTGTAAAGATCATTTTGTCAGGGACTTTTAAGGTAACACACTGTAAATGTAACCAGTGGAAAGGAATACTATCATACTGCCTAAGGAAACAGAAGAAGCCATTGCAACACTATATGGATCACAGACTAGTCCTCCAACCAGGATAACTCTCTGTAATACATGTTCAAGTAATCTGCCACCCGACCACCTGAATGCTGCAGCTGTAGCATAATCTGGCAACATCGTTAAAGTCTGCTGGAGCATCTGTCCCACAAAATGGTTTAAAACTACTGATTAGAAGAAAAGCCTCACAAACAACCTTCACATATAAAAAGAGACTACATATTAAATTATGCATTTATATATATATTATATTATATATTTATTTATTATATTCTCAGTATGTTATGCAAAAAATACTGTTGGTAGAATGAAAGCTTCCAGCACTACTTCTTTCTACCTTCATATGTTCTTCCAGACCTTGATTTTGCCTGCTTTTGTCATTCTGCTTTTTGCACTCTTGAACTCCTTTTCCCAACCTACAGTTTTACGCAGCTTTCATGGAAGTCTATATTCTGTTATACTCTTGAAATTTCACAACACAATACATCAAAGATCCAGCTAGTCAAAAATACACTTTTTAACAACAGATTAGAGCTGTGCACAGTATGAAAACTATGCAAGGACACAATAATACTTCCTTAAACAGTTTCTTGGGATCCAGCTGTCTGTGGCTATCTTCCTATTCTGTTGAAGACTTTTGGATTCATAGTATTTAAGATACAGAAGAGTTCACAGTAGTACCACTTGTCATATGAACTAGTACCACTTTTAGTCACTTTGGAGTGAAAAGCTGATATTTTATTCATAACAGTTTACAAAATTTGACATTACAGAAGTATGTATACTGGTCTCACTTTTTATATACTGTACATAATTTTGTAGTCATCTACACCCCACAAAATTTTCAGCATTTTCCAGATGAATGAAAGCCATTCCATTCCTTTATTTGTCCTGGTTGCTTTTCACAATAATTTATTTTATTTTCCTTCAAATGACCCTTCATTTCATGAAAATTTAGTAATTTATTTATTTTCCTGATCACCATTAAAATGACATATTTTTTAAAATTAACTATTAGAATATCTCATCGTTAAATAACAAGAAGAATAAGTAGCTGAAAACCAATTACAAATTACACACTTGGAACTCTTCCCAGCCCCATATTTGCAATCAACAACAACTTTTAAACTCACATTTATCAGCTACTTGCCAGTTTTTCCACACCATTTGTGAGTATGCTGAATAAAAAAGCCCTACTATTGTATTCCTCTTTCCTGTTGTATCAAACATCCTTTAATTCATTCCTCCCTCCCTCCCTGCTTTCCATTTCCAGGTTTTATCAATTAAATTTAGGTCTAGTAGGTGATTCATAAAAGATGAACACTGATAAATAATTCATGGCAAAGATGCTCTTCAGATACTCTCTCCAGAAGTAACATTTAGCCAATTTCCTTCTATGGAAAACAGAGTTTTTGTCATAAAAAAAACGAAGCAAATCAGAAATAAAGAAGTTTTCAAATTCTCATACAGTCTCTAAATTCTCATGGATTAGCGGAGACAATCTCATTTTTTCATAAAAAGGACTAGCTCATATGAGAAATGAAAGTGTAATTTAACTTTCTACATAGAAAGGGTTTCAATTTTTTTTAAAAAATGACAAAGTGTTTAGTTTGTACTCAAAGTAAATTAATTATGCATAAATGGTAATTGTCTTTTGATATGTAGTCCACACATATATATACAGTATATATACTCTATATAGTAAGTATATTATATATAATGTATATAGTGTATTTATATAAGAAACATTTTTGACAGATTTTTGATGAAAGCAGAACTCTAATTGTGTTTCTTTTTCCTACCAATACTAGAAATACTTGAAAAGAATTAGCTTTTGTTTTACCAACAGAATTTCTAATGAAAAGATAAACTAGTAATTCTAATTGCTATTGAAGCAGTGAAAATAAGAATTGATTTTGATACTTTGAGTTTGCCTAAGTGATTTTAGAAAGTTCACTTAGGCTTTACATAATCTGGCACCTAGCAAAAAGAAAGCAAGTGATGAAAAGTACATAAAACAAATCAGAAGAGGCTTTTGACTTTTGGCTTGTCCCTCCTCAAGCAGTTTAAAAACCTCTGGTTTTATTCTTCCAAGTAAGACAGAAAATATTCCCATATTTAGTTCCAATCATTTACACATGCAAGAGACAAAGAATTGTGACAGGCAGAAAGACAACTGATTTAGAAAACAAAGAAATACGTATTTTCGTGACTAAAAACAACAACTAAAAAAAAAAAAATCATTGCAATTGGATCAGGCTGGAGCAAAAGAGTTTGGAGGAAGTTTGTAGCTTTCTACACTACAAAACCAGAAAAAAAATCAGTACTGGCACAAAACACAGCTGTCCCCTCCTCCCTGCTTTGTTTTTTCCTGCCCCATTGAGTATTGGCACTGTGCTTACATAACCAAAATGTGAAACAGACTGGGAAAATTAGCCCCCAATCTGCTCCAGATGGGATTATTTTTCCACCAGTTTTTTACAAACCTCATTTACCAAAGAGCCTAAGGAATATTTGAAACAGAAAATGAGACATTTCAAAAAAAATACCATAAGCTGAATATACAGTGACTTTCAGTAGCAGTACAGGCTTACATAGGTTTAAGTTGTTCATCAGCCTAGAAGCAGATTTGGATATCCATTACATATGACCAAAGACACCTACAGAGTCAATTGTTAACACATAATGTTTTCAAAATCTTCAGTCTACATCCCATGCATGGGATAATCAGTTCATGTGAAGAAAACTCTTCAGAAAATACTTAAATCTAGCCACTACTGATTACACTTATTTAACATGTGAATTATGTTTATCCTAATTCCAACAGACTTTATACAAAGTTGTAGCAAAAAAGTTGAATGGTAAAATCAGTATACTTCAACTGTCACTACTATCAGCATTAATTCTAATATTGGAATCATAATGTATTTGCATTGCTTAGTCCTGGTGAAACTGGCAACTGTCAACTGATACTTATTTTAGTGCCCAACCCATTCATTATTATTCCTACTTCCTTCAACTACAGCTAATACTAAAACAACATACCTGAACTCTGAATTTCCAGGTTGTCCCAACAGGAACACCAGGTATAGGCCCATAATGATTTGAAGGAACAATAGTGCATTCCTTAGTGCGACCAACACAGGCCATGCCCTAAAAATACACAGACAAAAGCAATCAGACAAATGAACTACAATACTGGAGACTATTTGTAAATTCAATGCAGAGGTCATGAAATCTGTCTATTTTAATGAACACATACTTCAAAATATGTTAACAATTGTTAAAAGGAATGTTAAATTAAGTAGTACATGGTTATGGGTTTGGGAGGGGAGTTGGGGGTTGTCTTTTTTTGTTTTTACCTCTAGTCACTTTAATAATCCTTCCACTGCTTTAACTGCCAGTAAACAGTGGGTAGGAATAAACATTGTCTTGTCGTCTGTGCAACCCAGTACTGAATTTTGTGTAGTGCATATGTAAGCAGAATTATAGATGTACCACATACATGAACAATCAGAGTAACAGCTATTTCTAAAACACACTCTACCTTTCCCCAGTCTCTCTGGCTTTCAGTACTGGCAGATGGCATCTTTGCTTTCTTTTTACTCTGTTTGAGTTTTTCTCCAGCCTTTACAACTTCATTAGAATCATTTTTGCAGGAAGGACAATACCTAAAAAAAGGTTTTAGTAAATCTCAATTAACTTCATAATAATGGCAATACATTTCTTGTAGCCAAAATAGTGTCCACTTCTTTATTTTGACTGAATGTTTCAAGTTAGCAAGCATATACCAGTCTTAAGCAGCTGAAGCCTACGGCTTAAAAAATGAACTCAGTGTGAACAAATACTGTCAACTTTTTATAAAAAGGGGTTTTTCAGTACCTTTAAAGGTAGAGTGCTAGTTGCAAAACATATAACTATTTTTTCTCACATGATATGTGAGAGGTCCCCATGTCTCCTGTATTCTCTCTTCATTTAGTCTTCCTTCATTTACATCATGTAAAGGAGAAGACAGCTGAGATTAGAGTATGCTGCTAACCAGTACTCATGGTCTGTTTCTGTGTGTTTCCCAGTCTACCCTTATTTTTTGCTGGTAGTGCAACAAATTTCACTGCAGATTGCTGAATGTCAAACAGAGCCAAGGTATGATGCAGTGTGTATAGAAACTCACAAACACACACTAACTCACTCCACAACACTGAAGCCATTTGGAATATAATGCTCACTCCAACTAACACAAATCCATTCTGGTAGGAAAGCAGAGATGCTAGTATACATTTACTACAGCAGAGAGAGAAAAGGACAACAGTGGTAATCTACTGCTTACAGCAACATTCCAGTCCAAAAACAACAATACAAAGGCATGTCCATGTTTCTGGCTCCCATAGGCTCGATTTGGCCCACACACCATTAGAAGAGGAAGCCTAATCTACACTGACATTGATAACCTCGTTCAGGTAACAGCTACTACTACTAGTACTATTACTGTTTTGAATTTATTAAGTTTTCTATGTGGATATGAATAGAATAAGTAATGATTAAGGTCTACAGGAATAGATTTCACTATCTCAATGAAGTAAAAGAATGAGACCATGTAGATTTAAAATAATAATGTAAGATGCTGAAATTGTCTGACACTATGACAGGTATTACAGCTACTTACAGAAAAAGGATGTAAGACCAGTTATAAGAACAAACATGACATAATGCAAATTCACAAGGTGAATTAACTACTTGAAGTCACACGGTAAATTCCATGTTTCTTGATATGGTAACAATATTACCTTAACAACTTTTAAAGAGAATCTTGTAGGGAATATTAAATACTGTTTCACATACCAAGAGACTTAATGTACACACGATACACTTATCCTTTCTCAAACTGAAGGCTTAACCCCTGAAGAGAGTTTGCTGGATTTTGTACTCTAAAAACACAAAATGGAAGTATTTCCAGTTCTAAAGCAAACTGTTCCTAAATTAAAAATCAGACAACAATGACTCTTTGCTAGTATGCAAGAAGAAGGGAGAGCACAAACTTATTCTTTGGCAGGAGATGCTGCTTTGCCCAGTGTAAATGCACATATAATGACAAGCATTAAGACAGTGTAGGGCCGGTGACGTTAAGCATCCCGAAAGTAGTTCACATAAGCCAGGTCCACAACTGTACCTCTACCACCCTATGACTTCATCCACAGATTCAGCTATCTACTTACATATATAGATCTTAAGACTCCTATTCTTAGTTATACAGTGAACAAAAACAAGTTAAAAAGCTTGACAGCAATTTTCCAATAAATTTTAATTAATGAATTAAACTTCCAGAAATTCATAATTTGGAGAACAGACCAAGACTAGCTCTAGAGAGGAGGAGGTGTTCATGATCAAAAGTCTTATTACTATTACGCAACCCTGTGCACTCGGAACCCAGAAAGCCAACTCTCATTCTGGGCTGCATCCAAAGCAGCATGGGCAGCTGGTCAAGGCAAGTGATTCCACCCCTCTACTCTGGTCTTGTCAGACCCCACCTGCAGTGCTGCATCCAGTTCTGGGGCACCCAACACAAGGAAGATATGGACCTGCTGGCAAGAACCCAAAGGGGGGCCACCATGTAGCCCCACCATGTAGCTGGGGAAGAGCACCTCTGCCATGAAGACAGGCTGAGAGAGTTGGGGCTGTTCAGTCTGAAGAAAAGGCTTGAGGAAGACCTTATAGCACCTTCTAGCAAGTTTAGATTTTAGTAAGAAGTTCTTTCCTGTGAGGATAGTTGCCCCAGAAAACAGGAAGACCACCAGGCACTAACCAATAAACATTATGGAATCCAGTGCAGTGTAGGAGATTGAGTTATTAATTTACAAAGAAAGTTATAACATCCAAAAAATTCACATAGATTTTTACATAAAATAAAATCATAAGGTTAAAAGAGATTCCATGTAATGTACACATAGACATCTTAGACATTCAATGAAGTCTACAGAAAACTTTATTAGAATAAAGTTCTATTTATTACTTATTTATAAAGGATTAGCATCTCAAGTAAGTCATAGGAAGGTGATAAATATGAACAGTGTAAACTGTAGACAGGTAATAAAGATGCAAGAGTAATTACATAATAAATGAAGAGTAGCAATGTAGTGGTCCTTCCACAGCATGAAAAATGAATGTAGTAGAGGCAACAAAGAGCACAGGGGCAGCAGCAGGTACAGAGGATGAAGGGGCAGAGTGTGAGCATAAGAGAATTGCTCAAGCAGTGAAGCTTTTGAGAAATGAAAAGGCTGAGGAACAACTGTCGATAAATACAATCAGATCAGATAATGTCACAGAAGATCATAATGATCATAATGAATAAAATGAACATACCAGTCCTGAAATTTCATAATGGCTATTAAAGCTTACTACTAGTCCATTGTGAATGATTTAAAAGAATTATCTTGACAGAAAACATTAGCCTTATATTAAGTAGGATGAAAACACCCCAGAATTTAAAAACATCTTCAGTATTTTCTCTCATGACGTGCAAATATCAAAAAGGTAACATGCATAGAATGTGAATATAGGTAAGTAAATCATCCTTGTATATTTACCAGTCTTCATCTTCTGGTATCTTGCTTAAAGGAGGGTTCAGGCAGTATATATGATAAGCCATATTACATTCATCACACAAGAGTTGCATGTGAGCATCTTGTTTGCCACCACACAAGTAACACGAACAAAATCGGCACTCCTTATCGGGATCAGCCCTACAGTGCTTGCATTCAGGGCCACTTTTTCCTGTCAAAAACAAAGAAATGTCAAATGCCGTGTATCTCAGAAAAGTGCATTACTGTATCTAAAGAAGTAATTATTTCTGAACACGAACACTACTCTCTTGAAAATGCTTCTTTTCTTACAACGTGCTATTTATCAAGGCTTAACAAGATTTCTTCTGCTGTATAAACAAGCCATAAAAAACATGATTTATCATAAGCTTCTCTTTATTTTCTCCTGTTCCCAAGATGCACCTGCACATTCTCCCTAAAGATGGAGCTTTGCTGTCTTTTGAAGCTATACAGCTTATCAGATCCTTCTAAGTTAGCTTGGATAACATAAGCAATAAAAGTAAATATTTCTTTCAGGAGTTTATTCTTGAATAGAAATATGAGGTGGATCCTTGATGTATCCAGAGGAGTTCTGGATACTTAAACATTTTTCCTAAGTATACTGAGAAGGAAATTAATGACTAAGAATTTGCAGAAATCCAAGCCCCTTTCTACTGAAGAAAAGTATGCCCTCCCAACTGAATACACTACAGGGAAATTGATCCCTGCAGTTGTAAGTTATCAGGGTAAATCTCTGTGGTGAGAAACTCTGGACTGAAAGTTAAGCAAGGGGGACTGGAATGCCAAGCATTGTGCTGTATCTGCAGTCTTTCTGGAGGACCTTGAACAATACTTTATCTTTGAAGGCAGAACTAACTAGACTTAGAGCGGGAAGAGGATAGGGTTTTGATTAACAAAGAAGAGTCAGGAGCTGCTGATGAATTAAAAACTGATAGGGGAACATGTGTGAAATGCCTCAAAAGAACTAGAGCTTTTTCATCTAAAATGCTGGCACAGTTGATAACCCAGTCAAAATGTCTGTACACTAGCATATGTAGAATGAGTGACAACCAGATGAATTGGAAGTGACTGGAAAGCTATGATCTAATCACAAACACTGAAACCTGGGATACATCACATGACTGTAGCTCTCCAATTGACAGCTACAAACTGTTCAGATTGGACAGGCAAGGAAGGAGGGGCAGGCAATTTGTCATCTCTATAGACTTGATTGCACAAAACCGTCTTTGAAAAACAGCAACAACCAGGTCAAGAGCTTGAAAATCAGAGGCCAATCCAACAAAGGAAATCTCATAGTTTGTGTTTATTACCCACCACTCAATTGAGGGGACCCTGTTGACAAAACCTTCTTACTTCACCTACAGGAAGCATCACTCTGGCAGGTTCTGATCCAGCTGAAGGGACTTGTCAGGACAGTCCCTGACATCTGCTGGAAAAGCAGCTCAGCAAGATATAAGCAGTCCTGGAGACTCCTGGAGAGCATCAAGGATAATTTCTTACCCCAGGTGACAGAGAAGTGCACCTGCTGCTTACTGACACAGATTAACTAACTGGAGAGATCAGGATCAGCGGAAGTCTGGGCTGAAGTGATCATGTCTGAGTGGAATTCATGACCTCAGGGATTATGGGCCAAAGAAAGTCAGTACTCTGAATTTGAGGACCTGAACTTCTAGTTATGTAAGGAATTAGTGGGTGGGACCCTCCAGAAAACTGCACTCAGGAGCAGAACAGAACTCTCAGATCTTTAAGGACATTTTTCTTAGAGCCCAAGATCTCTCAGTTTCCATCAGTGAGCATTCAGGCACAGAAGGCAGGAGACCAGCATGGCTCGGTAAAGACCTCCTGGACAAAGTGAAATACAAGAAGGAAAAGCACTGGACATGGAATCATGGACAGGTATCCAAGAAAAGAGAAGTGCTGTGTGGTTGTGGAGGGACAATTAAGAAATTAAGAAAGCTAAGGTATAGTTGGAGCTGAATTTGGCAAGGGATACAAAGAACAGTAAAAATGGCTTCTATAGGCATGTTGGTCAGAAATGGAAGATTGAAGAAAACACAACCCCATCCTCCCCTCTGTCCCTCAGAATGAGACAGAACTAATGACAATTGACATGGAGAAGGTTGAGGTACAAATTGAGCAATTTTGTTTGCCTCTGTTCACTAGTAATCACTCTTCCCATATCTCTCAAGTCCCCAAACCTCAAGAGAGGAACTGGGGGATTGAAATGTGTTGACTGATTGGTGTAAGAGCCGATCAGGTTCCAAAACATCTGAAAACCTGAACATAGACATGACCATGGGACCCAAGAAGATGCATCCCAGGATCCTGAGAGAATTGTTTAATGTAGTTGTTAAGCCACTCTCCATCATGCATAAAAAGCCATGGCTGCCATATCATGTCTGAAAATCCACAGCAGTCAGGGTAAGCTCTCAGTGACTGGAGAAAAAAGGAGTATTTCAATCTTTTTAAAAAAGGGTAATAAGCAGGAACCCAGGAATTATTTACTACTCAGCCTCATCTCAATACCCAGTAAGATCACAGAGCAGAGAGACTCCTGGAAGACATATCAAAACATGTGGAAGACAGAGGGCTGGTTAAAGACAGCCAAAATGGCTTCACGAAGGGCAAATAGTGCCTGTTTGGAACAGTGGCCCTTCACCATGGAGAGAATGCATTGTTAAAGGCAAACTATAAATGTCATTTACTGATCTGTAAGGCCTTTTATTTGGACCCTCACAATATTCTTAACATAAAATCACAGAATTATAGAATATCATGAGGAAGTACAGATCCACAACAATCAGTCATGTCCAACTTCTGGCCCTGCAGAGGACATCCCAAGAATCCCTCCATATGTGAAAGCATTGTTGAAAAACTACTTGAATCCCTGCCAGGCTTGGTGCTGTGATCACTTCCCTAGGGAGCCTGTTTAAGTGTCCAAGCACTCTCTGGGTGAATAACCTCCAGGTTGGATACCAGGAAAATGTTCTTCACCCAGAGGGTGCTTGGACACTTAAACACAGCTTCAAGCCATTCCCTCAGGTCCTGTCACTGGTCAGTGAGAGGTCACAGATATCAGTGTCTGGCCCTCCCCTTCCCCTCATGAGGAAGTTGTAGACTATGATGACTGCCCTCAGTCTTTTCTTCTCCAGGCTAAACAACCAGGCAACCTCAGATAGTCCTTGTAGGCTTCCCTTCAAGGCCCTTCACAGCCTGTACTTTGTGACCCTCCTTTGTGACACTCTCTAGCTTTATAACTGCCTTACATTCTTGCTGCTAAACTGAAGAGAGAAGGGTTTGATGAATGAAATGGTAAATAGATATGGACTTAATTGGATGGCTACATTCAAAGAGTGAATGGTACACATCCAATGGTTCAACGTAAAAGTGAAATCCATTAAGGAGTGGTGTTCTTTAAGGGTCATAATGACAACACTATTATTTTCTATCTGCATTGATGACATACCCAGTGGAATTGAGTGCGCCCTCAATAAGGTTGTAGGTAACACCAAACTGAGCAGTGCAGTTCATCACAGAATCAAAGAATCATTAAAGTTCAAAAAAATACCTTTAAGATCCTGAAGTCTAACTACCAACCTATCACCATTATCATGTTCAGCATTAAACCATGTCCTCAAGTGCCATATCCACTCACCTTTAGAACACTACCAGGGATGGTGATCACTTAATTGGGGAACTTGGTCTAATGCTTAACAATCCCTCCCATTTTTCCTAATATCTAATCAGTACTCTCAGACACATGTTATGACTTGCTTCAGCACTTCAATGTCCTCTTTGGAGTGAGGGGTTCAGAACTGAACAAAGGTGTGGCCTCCCCAGTGATGAGTACAGAGGGACAATCCCTGCCCTGCTCCTGCCGGCCACACATTGCTGGCACAGGCCAGGATGCCATTGGCCTCCTTGGCCACCTGGGCACTGCTGGCTCCTGTTCAGCTGCTGTCACCAGCACCCCGAGGACCTTTTCCTCTGGGCAGCTTTCCAGCCACTCTGCCCCAGCCTGTGGCACTGCCTGGGGCTGTTGTGACCCAAGGGCAGGACCCAGCTCTGGGCCTTGTTGAACCTCACAGCACGGCCTTGGCCCATGATCCAGCCTGTCCAGATCCCTCTGCAGAGCCTGCCTGCCCTCCAGCAGATCAACACTCCCACACAGCTTGGTGTTGTCTGCAAACTGAAGGTGCACTCAATCTCCCCATCCAGGTAATCCACTACTGAGCCCTGGGGAGCATCACTGGTGACCGGCCACCAGCTGGATGTAACTCCATCTACCACCAATCTCTGAGCCAAGCCATACAGGCAGGTTTTTACCCCATGAACCATGTGCCTGTTTGAGCCATGAGCAGTGAGTTTTTCCAGAAGAATGCTGTGGGAAACAGTATTAAAGGCTTTACTAAAGTCCAGGTAGACAATATCCACAACCTTTTGCTCAATCACTAGGTAGGGTCACCCTACCATAGAAGGAGATCAGGTCAAGCTTAAGATGTCTTTCACAAACCCCTGCTGGCTGGGCTGATCCCTTGGTTGTCCTGCACAGTACGCGTGAGGACACTTGGGATGATCTGCTCCATGACCTTCCCCAGCACTGAGGTCAGGCTGACGGGCCCATAGTTCCCTGAATACTCCTTCCAACCACTGTTATGACAGGTCCAGGGGATCATGAAAATGATCAGAGGGCTGGAACACATCTCCTGTGAAGAAAAGCTGAGAGAGAGATGATGTATTCAGCCTGGGCAAGAGAAGGCTTTAGGGATATCTTTCTGTGACCTTTCAACACTTAAAAGAAATTATAAGAAAGACAGTGAAAGATTTTTTTACCAAGGTCAATAATGACAGAAAGCAACAATAATGATAACAAGAAGCAGTTTTAAATTGAAAGAAATGTGATTTAGATTGGATACAAGGAAGAAATCTTTTATTGTGAGGGTGATGAGACACTGGTACAGGTTACCCTGAGAAAGTGTGGATGCCTCATCCCTGGAACCTGTCAATGTCAGGTTGAATGGGACTTTGAGAAACCTGATTTAATGAAAAATACACCTGCCTATGGCAGGGAGGTAGGACTAGATCTTTAAAGGTCCATTTCAACTAAAACCATTCTATGATAAGAAGTGCAAAAACAATGCTGTTTGAATCATTGTTTTTAAGATAAAAAACTTTAAAACTTAAGAGTATAAAAGTATCACTGAAGAGGGAAGATTCCAGCTGCAGATAGAAGGTTTAGTGAGATGTACTGACTGGAAAACCTGATAAATAAATATGTAAAGCTATCAGCAATGACTGTTTTGCAAAGTCTTACAGGCAAAGGTACACTTAAATATATATTTCTAAAAAGACTCCAAAATCTATGACAATATTGCTTTTCTAGGAGAAGTGTAGCCTAGAAAACATAACATGCTATCCAAATGGATTCCATTAGTTTGAGATTTATCTCCCAAGGTTCATTTGAAGAGAAAGGAAGAATTTTGTGAGTGCTGATAAACAAATCTGAGCGTTTTCCAGCACAGTAAAATTCACAATCTGTGCAAGGCATCAATAACAATTCAAGTCAGACTAAGCAATCTCAGATAACTGTTAACTCCTTTGAAAAATTTTAAAAGTGATGATTGAGCACTCCCTATGGAAACCCAATAGCCTACCTCAGCCAATAAATAATAGACAACATGAAACAGCATTTTTTTCTGTATCTCTGAGCATCATGCATTGTTTAGGCCTATGTAATTAACTGGTTTCAGTTACAAAACCAGTTTCTTAGGTAAAAGGTTAGTTGTGATTTTTATTTAAATAGGAAAAGAGCAAAAAATACTTACATATTTTAGTTTGGTTAAACAATAGGTGAAGTTCTCTACTTCCTTCAGTACACAAACAAACTACAAACTGTCATTTTCATAATATCACTTTCATTTTTCACATTTCTGTTTTAACCGTGTTGTAAGTCATATGCACTAACTATAGCTGCACAATTGGTCACATGAAGACAAGCCTGTTCATCTCAACCACCAATGCAGAATTTAGTTGCATAAATAATTTCAAATTATCTTTTTTTTTCAGAAAGAGTCAGCACAAGTTTGCATTCTGATGGAAGTAATATATGTTGATACCTAGGTCTTATTTGCATGTTGCATATAAATATTTGTAACATATTTAAAAATAGATTGCTTCTTAGATTTTTTTGTTTTGAATATAATTTTCTAACAGGCTTAGCTTTACTTCTTTTATCATTTGTAGAATTTTTCTGCCATTAATTACTTAAAGAGTTACTATTTTTAATTGTAACTGCCGAATTTATATTGACATCACTTTACACATACAAACCCTAATTATTATGTCACCCTGCTCAAGAAATAAGACTTTTTCTGCAGAGACAATCTACACTGTTTATCTGATGAAGATTATTTCCATAGTAGGCATTCTATCTTTTGACAAGGGCATGGACAGTAGCTTAATATGGACAAAAATACAGTCAGTGCATTTGCTGACTGTGCTTGCAACAATTTCATAGAATATTTAAGGCCAAATAATGATTTTAATTTCATCTGCCATGATTGTAATAAAATTCTGCCTCTTTCCATAGTACATAAGCTAAGTGTGTTTATAGATAGTTGTATATATATTTAACTTTTTAAAATACATATAGGTACACATTTTAGTACAAATAGGGTTCTAAGTACAGTCCAGAAGAAAGGACTACACTGGTGGTTATAGCATCCAGCTCCACTGTGTGCAGTGTGCATACCTGAACAAAGGCAAAACAGCTGACCTGGCTGAAAAACCAGAATCACATGAACAGAGCTGTACAGTGAGTGCTGGCTTCAGGAAAAAGAGCAGTTCAAGAAATAAGGCTGAATTCCAAGGTAAATTTATTTTTCATGATTACACTTTAAAAGATTATATTTGTGAATGATATTAAATAAATATTTATTTATGAAGGTTATAAACAGTCTGTTGAAATTAATAAGATTGGGACCAGGAAAAAAATAAAATAAAACATACACAGAGGTGCAAGTCTCTACACAGATGTCAGTATTTGGGTAGTTTAAGCAAAGAGGTTACAAATAAACAACAATCAACATTGGAAGGAGGGAGGTATATTAGACAATGAAGGTCTTGACTCTGAAACAATTAGAGTGGCAATCAGCATACAAAGTACAGATTGGTGAGGGTGAGTCCACCCCTCAAATCCTGTGTTCAGCTTTGGACCCCTGATTCCAAGAAGGACATTGAGGTGCCAGAGTGTGTCCAGAGAAGGGCAGTGAAGCTTGTGAAGGCTCTGGAGCACAAGTCCTATGAGAAGAGCTCAAGGAGCTAGGGTTGCTTACCCTAGAGAAAAGAAGGCTCAGGGGACCTGAGACCTTACTGCTCTCTGCAGCTACCTGATTTGTAGCCAGATGAGGGTCAGTCAAAAGGACTAGAGGAAATGGCTTGAAGTGGGGCTAGGGGAGGTTTAGATTGGTTACTATGAAAACTGGTTCACAGAAAGAATGGTCAAGCACTGGAAGATGTTGAAGTGATGGAAGTGCCACCCCTAGAAGTGTTCAAAAAACACGTAGATGTGGCACTTAGGGACTTGGTTTAGCACTTATGGCATTTGGTGGACTTGATGGTCTTAAGAGTCTATTGCCATCTAAATGATCCTGTAAGTAAATACATCAGATCAAATAGCACCATCATAGACAATTTTGTATAGTCAGTAATACAATAATCACTCATTTCCTCAACCCATAATTAAAAAAATTAATTCACTACACAGTAGCTGCAGGGAAGAATTAAATGAACTGCAATACTCTTTTATGCCATTTAAAATGTTGCATACTTCCAAAATAAATAGTATCTAAACACAGATTAGTATTTGTAGGTTTTCAATTTTCTCACACAGAAATCTTTTAAAATCAAAACATGCTTTAAAGATATTGGAAAGATCTTCTAATGCGACCAAGAAAAAATAAAAGAGTGAATAGTTCTTTTTTTTCTAAAGGGAAGCAATTTTTTGAAGGGAAATAATTCTCAAATAATGAAAATAAATAATGAGTTGAGAAACTGACATTTTTACTTTCAAGAATACCACAGGGAATGGTATTTGCTCCTCTGAAAGACAGTGATTTTTTTTTTAGACAACAAATAAACATTAATCAGACTCGTTGTGCAGTGGGAGCCACCTACGAAGGTTCTGAAAAATTGCATGGAGTCAGGAATGTAATATATAATTATATCTAAATAATACCTACTTGTAGAGCTACAGTTCAATCTTCAGTGTTGCTATCACAAATACTCACCACTCCTAACCTTAATATATTTTCAAACTTAGGATAAAATGTCATTACTTTTTAGATAAACTGCCACTAACTCCTTATTGTGGTTGTGGGGAGGTTAAGGAGGTTCGGCAGGCTCAACTAATCCAGACATTAATTATCCCTTTTTTTTCATGGTACAAGCAGCTTTAGTGCAAAGTTCCTTATATTTTTTTCTTCTCCCTGACATAATGACAGAGTTAAAGTGCATTACTACCAACTATTTCTGGTTTTGGCATTTATTAATTTATTAAAAGCTTGAATTACATATCAGTTGCAACAGCAGTTTTGGTGGCCTGAACTAGGAACTTAAATGAGACTGCAAATTCATTCTGTACTTTTCATTTAGAGCATTATCAGCTGTTTCTCTTTTTCACCATTTATGACTGACAGCACTAAGCTATTACTAGTTTCTGAATATGTCAAATAATACAGCCATCTTATAGTAACTATGCTTTGAAAACAGAAATCTAAAAATTATACAATTCCTTTCTTGAACACAAACCAATTATTACTACTACCTCTGTATGCTGATATTATCTAAAGAAACATCACTCAATTTGTACTTATGTTCAAATAATTTAAAAGGTCCATACTTTTGAAATCTCCATCCCCAAATGTCAATGGATAGGCTCCTGGCTTTTCAATCTTGTACATTTCCTCTATAAAAAGGATTTTACAATCATTTATTGTGTCTTCTGGACCTCTGAAAAACAAGAAGAATAAAAAGAACATTCAACTTAGTTCCTCAGACCTAGATTCTGTACTTCTTGAATCCTAAGCAATAAGATACAGTAGCCTTTTTTTTAATCACTGACAGGACACTGTATTTCAGTTCACACACAAAAATCAGTCTAGCACTGTAACTCCTCAGAAAAAAAGTAAAACACATATTTAGTGTTCACCTAAAGAAAAGACTACTCCATTATCCTCAGACTGCCTGGCACTTCAGTATGTCTTTACTGACAGTTATGCAATACAGCTTAATTCCATTTCTAAAACCTCAAAAGGTTTTTATTGGCTGAACACAGCAGACCAGACAAAACCATATCCTCTGGAATACAGTATCTCTAACATTATTATAAAAGTATAGTATCAAAAACAAACCAGAAATGTGACCTATAAGACAGAATGTTGGAACCCATAAAGCAAGAAAAGCAGCAGAAAAATTCAAAAGCCTTTCTATGACTTTTAACTGTTTCTCCACTCTGGAAAGCCACATACAATACTGTACTGAATTATATATTGTAAATAGTCCTGCTAATGTCAGGTTTCAGTGCAAAATCTCAGTGACTAGTACTAACAAATATTCCAAGACTCCACAACAATAATGCCACAAGACTTCTAGAAAAGAATTAGAAAATATTAATGCAAAGATTTTCATCTACTCTTATTAAAATATCTTTGTATCTACACAGATTGTAATTCAAATGGAAACCTATCTAGGAAGAAATGGCCATATTGACACCAACAATGGTAAAGCCCTCCCTTTTCCTTCCTCCTGAGGATGATATTGTGCTCTCTTCAACTGCCTGTTCTGTTACCATTTTCAATTTACTACCTGATCTAGAAGTAAGCAGGAATTTTCAGTATAATAAAATACTGATGGATATCTGCAAGAACCTATCACAGAGGTGACTTAACAATACTTTTGAAGAAAGCCAGACAGGTGATAGAGCCCTACAAAAAGGTTTAATCTGCAGAACAAAATTAGACTAGAGACAGACAGGAAAACAAGTTATTAGATTCATACTCAATAAGGATAACTGCAACAACAGAACATCTCCAGAAACATCAGGCTTCAGTCTGGAATCTGTGGTTCTCTGCTCTACCTCTTTGCCTGCTCTCACCATTTCCTTTGTGCTGACTACCAGTTCTTAATTTCTGACACATGATGACCTAACTAAGGTAGAAAAAAATTAAGCCAGGGAAAACCCACAGACAACACAATCACCTTTTCATGGCCCTGAACACTGCAGTATTTAGGTCTCCATGGAACCTGTGCCTTGATCAATTCTAATTGCCTTTTAAACTGTACCAACAGCTGTTTACTTAGTCATCTGTATCTATTTTTCTTTCCCAGTAGTTTTTGGAGGAAAAACATGTTACTGTTGGTAACATGCATAAACAGCAAATGCTAGCAAATTTCAAATATTTAGGCTATTTGGACAGAATATATAAATGCTACATCAATGCAAATACATCCATCAGATAAAGAACAGTTTGCTTTCCTGATTAGGAAAACAATGGATTTAGAATTAACTCCATTTGCACCCTAGGGGATAGTACTTTAAAGCAGTTCTGACCATTGTGACTAACACCTCTTAGGTTTAGCATGCAGACACTTTGAATTATCCACAATACTGAGCAATTCACAATCACAAAGGCACAATACATTCAAATATAGAAAGCACAATATGTAGGGACAATTTTTGGCAGCAAAACTGAAATAACAAACTCAACAAACTTTTCAATGCACCAGTATATCCCTGGTTGTTTTGCAGACTTTGGAGAGTCTTTTTATTAACTGTCCTATGTTTCTTATTATTCCTAGATTACTTAAAAACAAAACAAAACACACATGCTGACATTCTTTAATGCCACAAATCTATGTTAGAACTTCTCTTACTGACAGCACTGCTTGACTGCCTATCCAATTATTAGATACCCAATTATTAGAGTTATTCCTCTAGAACTCACTTCTAACAGAACTCAAAGTTGTAGATCTAATTTAAAACAAAACCTGAGAATTATTACTTTTTTCACATAATGTGAAATTTTTTACTTAATGCAGCAGCTACAAATGATTGATATTCTCAAATTCCAGTAAACTTCAGACCAATTTAAGCATATTTTTCACTGATTTTTGCATCCTGCAAATCCTAAATCTGTGTGTAGTCTATAACCACTATCTCTACTATAAGCAAAACTGCATCTAGGAAGAACACATATTTCCTCTCCTCTCTCTACAGTGTGTTATGGTTTAGAGCTTTTTAACTTACCTTTCCCCCCACCCTTTCATTTTCCCCAGAAAGCTAAAAAGCACCTGTTAAAAAAATAGCTTTACTTTATTTGTATTCTCTGCATAAGGTCTATGGTCAAGAAGGAAGGTTACCATACAGCTTTACTCAGAAATCTAGACACTTGCTATTCACATCCTTGGGAAACAAGCCAAACTTGAGCTCAGTAGAATACTAATTAAGAGTAAATTTCTAATAGGGCCAATTTGAACAATAAAATTACTTTTAACTACAAATTATCACATTGTTTCCTTAAAAGATACCATGAAAAGATTTATAAATTGGTTCAATGATGCATTCCAAACAGTAACAGCTAAGTTTTTGTGAAGTATGCAGAAGCACACTCTTATCAACTTTATAACAAAGTATCATGTAAAAAAATGTTTTTTGCACCGCAAAGTGTTGAAGCACAACATACTTCTTTAGTTTAGCTAGCTAAATAAATAACTCCTCTAATTAATACTGTAAAACAGAGAACTCTTGAAATAATAATAAAAAAAAATTAACACAGATGCATGGCATGTTCTTCTCTCATAGCACTGCAATCCTATTAACAGTACTATTCCTTATATCTAGGCACTACTTATTAAATGAATGGAATTAAATATTTCTCTATCACATACACTAGATCATGGTAGACATTCCTTCTCTTTTAGCCCTGTATTTTTCCTCAGGAATAAGGACACTTAGAAAGCAACCTTCATGCTAAGTTTTTCCTAAATTCTACTCAGTATTTGAACCAGAGAAAACATTACATTTTCTGTTATGAGTTATGTAAGAAGTAAGCAAATACTGTCAAATTACATTACAAAGCTGGTATGTTACAACAAATGTCACAGCTGCATACCTGGAATTACAGAAGGAGATCAACTCCTTCATCATTGTGAAAATGATGGCTATTAATGGTTAAGCCTTACCAAAGCTAAAAAAATCTGCTCGGATAGCTGTTCGTAAAAGAAAAAGTCTTCTGCCACAGTACACATTCAGAGCTTTAATAATGATCATGACTTTAAAATTATTGTTATCTAACAAAACTGCAGCTACATTATGCTGTCAAATGTACAACCTTTCTTCATTTCTTCACCCTACCATACCAAAACAAGATTGTGCAATATGCATAGCAAATGGGTGTTTGTACTTCAAGTAAGAACTTTAAATCCTCTGAAAGAATTCAATCCCAAAAGAAAGCCAGATTCAACACAGCAGAATTCCTAATGCAAGCCTTCCTTTCAGATAAGTTAGCCAAAGCCAGAGAAAAACCTTGAACTGAACCTTCTTTTATCTGCACTTTCCCCACACACATTTCCTTTTTTTTTTAACCTTCAGATAACGAAATGCTTTAGACATTCAAAATCACAGTTGACTAGACGTGTGATAAATGGGCATTATCCTGAATATTTCAAAGGTCAGCTTGACAGAAAATAAAAGCTGCTGGACAGTTACCACACTTAGAGAGCTTTATCACTTCTTACAGTCTGATTCAATGACAATTGTCAAATCTCTGTCCAGAAATTTCTTTGTTTATCCCTTTACCACACTGAAATTAAAAGTATAGTAATTTAACACACACTAAAGTCAAAATACAATGCTGAATAAAAATGGGGGAAAAAACTATTAGAAAAATACACATGAAGTTTCTATTCATACTAAGAATAATAATGAAAAGTATCTAATGATGATTTATATTTAGGCCCCCTTAGAGCAAAACCCTACTCACACTGTCATGCTTACCACACGCAACTAATTCACAGTGTCTCTATGGCTAATGTCAAAAGGTACTGTCTCGGTCAGTAGAGAAATAGCCACAATGAGAATAAAACCTAATGGAATATAACATTGACTATGCTCTCCAAATACACAATTTCACTTAACAAACAATATACAAAATCAAAACAAAACCAGATTTACTGCCACTTTCTGTATCTATCTTTTCATGTGCAACACTTCGTTTACATGCCTTACATCAATCAGCCTTTATTCTGCTTTTGTAAAGTTTTCAGCCAGCAAATCTTTCTGTTCTACATCAACAAACCATAGTGAATTAACTTCTTTAAAAACACACAATCTTTCAATATTACCATTAAAAATGCTTGTTAGAACTTTTAATATCATCTCCTTAGAAGTGGTTGACTGGAGATTTGATTTCAAACAGGCTTGTTTTAAAGGTAACTTCAAAATCTTCCCACATTCAGACAGCATATTACATTGATAATCTGACCAAATTCTGCTAGGTTGTACTGAATTACATAGAGGTTCTTTTATTTTTTTTATTGCACACAAGCAAAAATGCAGAGTACGTACAAGACTTTTTTCAGAATATTCCATACACATATGTTTTATCATTAAAATAAAAATGCACAGTTACAAAAAGGGTCAGCATTAGCTCTGCTTTTAATTCAACTTTACATTTATTACAGAATCACTGTAAAGATAAAGACATGTGACAACTTCCAAACTATGCAAAGATTTTATTACTCTTTCTATAACACTAGTATTTAAACAACAGCAAAAAAATTAACATTTTCTAGGCTATGTTGAGGACCGTATTCTAATATGAATCTTTAATGCCTTTAAAAACAAAACACATATATTCTTAAACCTACAAGTTCATATTGTGGACATACACAAAAGTCAGGCAGGGTATTGTGTTGGTTTTTTTATTTTATTTCAGCAGTAGGTGTGAAGC